AAAATTTTATACTTGGTCATTTTTAATGTGCTACCTATCAATTTGAAGCTCAGGATGTCAACTCTAATCATGCAAAATTGTACAGAAATTCATTCGGTAACTAAATAAATTGTGGCTCTAACCTAACATCCTGCTTAGGGGTTACAGCACCAACCATTGATAATTATACATAACCAAATGTCCACGAATTTTTATGGTGTATCACCATAATTTAGTCTCCAATCTGCAGCTTGCTCTTGAGAGTTTCAGGCCCTAAAATGTTACATTATATTTGGGGGATGAGATTTTTGAAAATCCCAATAGCAAGATCAATCAACCAAAACATTAACATGCATCAATTAAAAGCATTCCAACCTTTTGTTATTAATAGGGAACTACTTTACCTCATACATGTAGCACTCTAACATGCAATAGCCAAGGCACATAAAGCAAGGAGTATAGCTACACAATCATCATCATCCTCATCATTTAGTTCAACCACATAATAGCACATGAAATTGCATAGCAATCAATGCAACAATCAACATTAAGGCTAATTAAATCTTACTACCTTAATCCAATGCTCTTTGATTTTCTTGTTCTTCTTTCTTGCTTCCACAAATGCCAAACCCTAACATGGCAATCCACAAAAATGGCAGCAAGAATCATCAACCATTCCTCATGAAAAATTAACAACATAAATCAAGTAACCTCTAACCCCTTAAAGCTTCCATCTTTGTTCTTGAATTTTTAGAGTTACTTTCCATAAACCCTAAAAATTCCCTCTTGACCTTTTCCTATAGTTTTTCATGTAGATTCCAAATATCTACTTAGATTTAACAAAATAAATTTCCCCCTTTCAGTTTCAGCTTGGCCGAACCACTATGGTTCATTTTCCAAAATTACAACTTTGATTCTATGGCTTCCAACACTTGTTCTTTAGGTTTACCCTACACTATTTTCCATTTTGAACACAATGGAAGCCTCAAAACTTTGAAAAACTCATCCTAGGGTCCAGATCTAGCTTTGACTGAAAATAACACTCAAGGAAATAACCATGAAAAATGCTTCAAAACCAACTATAATCACTTGCAAACACTAGGATCTAACTTGTGTTTTTGTGTCTTAGCAAGATCTAACAACCAAACTCCCTCCCCACCAAGAAAAGTATTTCGGCCAGCAACAAGAGAAGGAGGAGACAGATTTTTTAACCATAAAAAGCATGAAACAAGACAAGGAACAACTTGAAACCAACAACTAACCTTAAATCTCACTTAGATGATCAAAGTTGTTCCCTCTCTCATGATCCCTCCATGAAGATCTCTCTTTTCTCCCACCTTTCTCCTTTGGCCAAACCTTAGATCTGATTTAGGGGGAGAGATGAGCTCATTAATGCTCTCAAAATATCCCATCTACCACAATTAATGAAGAGCCAAGTGTCAAGTGCCTATTCCTTCTTAATTTTCCCTCTTAATTAACTTAATGACAATTGAAATTAATTTCAAAAGTCAAGATTCTCTCCAATGGTGGCTTGACACTTGGAAAGCTTTAATTACCACCCATTAAAGGCTTGACAAGTAGCAACTTATAGGCCAAGTAAAGTGCAAGACTCCGATTAACACTTTATCGGTGCACTTTTACTCCGGGTTTAACTCCTTTTCTATAATTACAGTGCTCTGGCCTCTGTAATTATTTTCTGTCAGATCCATAAATTATTCTCCTCATTTTTATCTTCCCAAATTGCCCTCTTCGTCTTACATTTAATTTCCCAATAATTAAATAAAAAGGAAAACTATTTTCCTTCTCTTTAGTGATTTTTCCTCTTTCCAAAGGAATTGGGGAAAATCTTGGATACTTGAGGGTTTTCTTTTAATTTCATAATCTCTTATAATTCCTTGGGATATCATAGGAATTTTCTTGGGATTTTATCCTCCTTAAAAATATTTATTTGGAATTTTCTAATAAAGGACCTTAAACTAGCTTAAATCGCCCTTAAATTCCTTTGTAATTTCTCTAAGGGAAAGTTAGTCATAAAACCAATTTTATAATCCCATATAATTCTCAAGGAACATTGTCCTTATCTTTCCTTAATTTTCGAAGGCTTGAAAATATTTTTCCATAATTACTTTTGACCAATTTTCCTTAATTAGTCAAACTTTCTATAATTGACTTGGAAAATTATAATAATTATTTTCCACCAAAATTCTTCTATTTCTCCTTGTCATTTTGACCCTTAATTATTTAGGAATATTCCTATTTCCTAAATGTCATATTTCTGGATGTGACAAGTGGCCACGCGTTATATTTCTAATTAGTTTGGTTTTTGTTTGTGTGCCACCGAGGATGACTAGCTTTCATGTTTTGTGTTATTGATTAGTTAATTCATTTGGACTGTATAAGCCCAGACTATTATCATTTGTGAAATTTTGTTCTTCTTTTTAGAGCCTTGAGGGCCAGGGATTTATGCTAGAATTGTGGCATCATTGCAATAAATAAGTGGATCTAGTACTTGTTATACTATTAACAGCTAGACATTTATTATTCTACTATGAATTGTGTAAATCAGGTACATGCGAGGGTTTTTATAACCATGTTAGGAAATTAATCTTCTTCTAATATGGTTATATTGACTAGGTAAGTATAGTTCTTTTATAATCATGATATGTTATGTTGTAGACTAATCATGTCGTTCCTTTTAATATCATAGTTTTGTAGCCAAAAAAAAAAAACAGAGAGAAAGAGAGAGAGAATTTTGGGACTTGTTTCCTTAATTACCACGGTAACTATGGTAAGGTTTGTTAGCCGTGCTAACTATGATGAGTCCTTAGGTAGGGTGTTACAATATTGCATTCATTTTCCTTTAAATCCACATTGGATGTTAGCTATGGTGAACTCACTTAAAGAAACGGAAAAAAAAAATGTATAAACATGTCAAATTCTTATAATGTTTATTCATACTTTTTAATTTTAGTTCATAAGCTTAACAAAATCTAATTCTAAAAATTAAAAAATATGTATAAACATGTATAAATAATTATCTTATTATATACTGTATAATATAAATTATTATCATATTATAATAAAAATTCAACTTTCAAAAATATTAAATTACCAGTGGATTAGCCATGGAAAAAATTCTGTCGGAAATCCATCAAAAATTCTGTTAGTAAATTTATTGACAGAATTTCCGATGGCTTTCTGACCCAAAAATTTTCATTAGTAATTGGGTATATTTTTTTGTAGTGTCACATTTGGTGCAAGCGGGTTAATAATGATATTGCCTTAAGAATTTTTGAGTTGGTTGATACAATTCAATTTGAATAAAGAATAATACAAAGATGAGCCTTCTTAAGCTGGACAACTTTTTCTCCTTGATCTTACAAATAATGGATGGTCTATTCTTTTGTTGAGCAATAAAATAAATGATGATGGAGACATGGTATAAGATGACAGTGGAGTTCAGATGATCCATTTCATTAAACATCAGACACGATCAAAATGAAGAAATATGAACTTTAAAGAGGGAGAAACTTCACAAGTAGAAAAAAAATTAATTCACGCTAGAGGCACCAAAAATATGTGTATAGGTGTTTCTTTTGTTGTTTGTAATTTGTTGATTGTAATCGTTTTGGGTTTTCCTTCTGTTTTACCATATACTGATTTTTGTAATTACAATGCAGGGGCTGCTTGAAGTTGCAACCAATACTCCAAACCTAGAAACAAAAAAAAAAGCTCGTTTCATGTTCGTCAAAATGATGAGCATGTAATGTTCATCTAAATTTCAATCATTCAAATTGCTTTTGGGAGGGTCAAGATTTAATTTAAGATTATCATATCTCTTAAATAATTTTGTTTATAGTTAAAGAATTTAAAATAAAGATAATATTAAAACTCACTTATTTTTTAAAAAAATAAATTTATTATTAAAAATTTTGTATTTAAACCATTTATATCATATTTTAAATGGCCAAAATTATTATTAATGACTGATTTCAAATCATGGGTTATTCTTCTCTAAACACTGCATATAATCCAAGGATGCATGCTTACGGATATTGCTCTTCAAGATGGCTTTTGATTTGCTTTCAGAGCTGAAGGGTATTTTTGTCCACATTTATTGGCAGTTCTAAGGGGGATAATAATTATCCCAACCACCATATTTAACATCCCAAAAGCAACATTTTTTCACCTTTTTGATACCATTGGTTTTCAGCCTCAAATCATAGTTTGAAGCAAAAAATCGACCTTCTAAAAAATTGGACTGTTTGAATGATTGAGTCCAAATTATAATTTAGGTCTAAAAATACTTTTCTCTAGTTACTCAAACCCCTCTTTAGTTTCTTACTATTTTATTAGTCTTTTTTGGAAAGACTGATTATTCCCGGCAAGCGGGACCTACCTGCTTTATGCCCGCCCTCCCCAAGAAAGGCAAATGAGCAGAGTCCCATAGAGTTCTGTATAACAAATAAATAATTGAAAACGCGGGAACCCGAGGGCGCAAAAGAAAATATTACAAAGAATCACAGCTCCGTCAGGCAGGTTGATCGTCGTGTCGTTACGCCCTCGCATATGCCTGAGACGAAGATACTTTCTTCGCAAGTAAACACCCACGCGCATCCCCAGGTCTTTTCTCAATGAATAGACATTTTTTTATGCCTGCGAAAATGATTCAAATTAGATATTTTTTCCCTTTCACATGAGAGTCAAACTTTCGGTTAAAAAAATGAGAGTCACATTAAGAAATATCTTCTAATAAAAAAATGAAGAAGACAAGCAATTTTAAAAGGCACGTGTGCTTTTTTATACCTCTCAGTGAATTTAATATTTTTTTTCAAAGGAAAAGAACGAGTGACACACAACCATAGCGGATGAATCGAATTCATTTACCTCCTTGGATGTGCATGCATGCAGAAGAACCTTCCAGAGTAATTCCAAGTACGTCAATGTAAAATTCAACCTTTCCCACGTAGTATATATATAGGGCACCCAAAACCCATAACATATCTAATTCGATCCAGCACATGGAGAAGAAGAAAGAGGAGACCCCGACAAATGAACTGCGGTACCGCGGGGTCCGGCGGCGGCCATGGGGGAAGTTTGCAGCGGAGATAAGGGACCCGACGAAGCAAGGTGCAAGGCTGTGGCTGGGGACATTTGAGACAGCTGAGGAAGCAGCAAGAGCTTATGACGAAGCAGCTTACAACTTCAGGGGTCATCTTGCAGTTCTTAATTTCCCCCAACACTACAATCTTCCTCCTCCTCCGCCATATCACCCATTCTCTTCCTCTTCTTTTTCTCCTCCTCCTCCTCCTCTTCTTGCTTATGGAGCTACTGATGACCATGCAGCTTCCTCAACTGCTGGACAGGACGCCCGGAGGGAAGTTATTGAGTTTGAGTGCCTGGATGATAAGGTGTTGGAAGAGCTTCTTGAGTCTCAGAGAAGAACATCAAACAAGATTGATGAGTACTACTGCATTGTATTTTTGAGTTTATTTCTCTCTTGGCAAGTTTCATTTTGGGCTATGCATGTTTTGCTAGTGTTTCTACTTGGCTACGTACTGTAGCGATGATAATAAACAAGGAACCAATGCTTCTAATAACTTATGTTGGAAAATGGGTCAGTCCACTCTTAGTGGATTAGACCCAAGCCCATTAACGTTAGGGCTCTGGTGCAAATAATAGAACATTCAGGTCTTTAATTGTGACTTTTACTTTTTGTTTAAATTGTAAAGAAAAAAAGGGAGGGAACAGTTATTCTAATGTGGTTATATGGAGATTGTTTTTCTCATTTGAAAAACGATCAGAAGACCACCGAAAAACTGCTCTCCCTCTCCCTCTGTTCTTCCCACAAAGGTGCATTTGCTGTGAAACCAAAGATCCGAGTTCGTCATCGTAACCGGAGCTTTACGTGGCTATCTAAAGTTGTTGGACTCTCTAAGTATGCCCGAAGTCTTATAACTTCAAATAAAATCATACCATGATTCTAGTCACGGAGTATTTGTGAATGCACACTTTGCACCATATATAATATTCGTTTAGGTGCAAAAGTTCCTGCGAATATTCAAATAAAATCACACAAGGCCTGTACCCAGAATTTTGATTAGCACGATAAAAAGTTCAGATCATTAAGAATTATTATTGCACAAATGAAGTTGCATTTCTTCGTTAAAATATGGGCTAAGGTGCGAATTTACCCACGAAGCGTATGCAAATGTAATTGGCACCATAGTATTCACTTATTTGCGCAAAGCGCCTATAAAGATCCTAAAATAATGCAAAGATATCGTGATATTAATTTAAACAATCGTTCGTTAGCTCTTATTATTATTATTATTTCTTTTTTGGGTGAAATGTTCGTTAGCTTTTAGAGCATAAATGAATATGGGGCTCGTGAAAAAAAAAAAAAACATTTGCTTAAACAAATGACAGTGGCATCTTTTTACGTCATTTTCAAACTTAATGGATACTTTTACACCCAAATAAACATTACAAGGTGTGTACTTGAATATTTTATGAAAAGATTTGCAGCTTATTAGACAATAAAATATTACTTAAAAATTGTTCTTTTCTTGAAAATTAGATATTATGACTTCACTTTTTCTTTTTTGTTTTTTGTTTTGTAATTATATATGGACAGAATTCAACATTATTAAGAACTTAGACCTCCCATAAAACATTTGGGGACTATTAGTTGGGTTGATTATAAACCAACTGTTCTGACTGTTCCGCTCTTCTTTCCTAAAAGTTGGGGGAAGCAAATCGAATTTTGATTGCACTTGCCCAATAAGGAAGATCCTTCTCCATGCATGGATTAATATCGCTTGCATATGTAATTGAGGAAGTAAATAAATTGGATTCCTCTACTATGCCTATATATTTTTTTCTTTTTTGATTAATTATTATATTTCTTGATACAGCTATCTACTAGCGTTATTTAATGCTATATACTACCTCCATTCCTTAATATAAGAACTACCTGACTAATTTGAGTATATCAAAAAAATTAGTTCAATTAGTTATTTGTAATAAATAAGTGTTGTCTTTCCTAAAATATCTTTGCTAATCAAGTGTATTGGTTACAGCTACCATTATTACAAAGACTCTCTTGAGAAAAAATAAATAAACATAAGAGGCAAAGTGGATTAAGGTCTTATATTTAAAATCAAAATAAAAGTTAAACAAGTTCTTATATTAAAGACCGGAGGTAGTATATCACAATTAAGGTTTGACTATTATTATGTCAAAATAATAGCAAATTTTGTCATCTACGAGATTAAAACTTCATCCTTGTTGATTTAAGGAGTTATGTACCTTCCAATTGACCTTTCTACGTACCATAGTACTATCTTCGGTTCTAATTATAAGACTTAGTTGATTAATTTGAGAAAATTAAAGAAACAAGTTAAGTTAGTTATTTGTAATAAATAAGTGTTGTCTTTCCTAAAATATCCTTACTAATCAAGTGTGCTGGCTAAAATAACGACCATTAGAAGGACTATTTTGAAAAACAATGTATAAATATGAAAGACAAAGTGGATTGGGGTCTTATATTTAGGATCAAAATAAAAATCAAATGAGGTCTTATATTAAGGACTGGAGGTAGTATTTGTTTTACTTTCCGTTAAGGAAATTGAACAAAATCACATAGAGGCAATACAAGTGCATCTATAATTTTTAATATCGCTTATGCTTTTTAATGATATCGTCTTTTATTTGAATTCATTATTTGTTCATTTAATGTTATAAATATAAAGATTTCATATTTATATTTGATTGACTTTGCTTTTTTTGGACTGAATTTTAATTTACTTTAGTTAAGTGCAAAAACTGTTAGATAAATTTAACTAATTGCTCTAAGATTATACAAGAGATTGTTCGATATTTTAAGGCAACATAAAAGTTCAAACATTAATCAGACATGTAGCAATTATACGTCAAGAGATCTCCATATTCAAGCCCAAAACATGTTGGACTATGGATGATATGATATATAGTATCAAATACTACCCCCGCTAGTTAAAATGAAAAGTTAGTTAACTAATGTAAGAAGATTAAAAAAATTAATTAAATTGGTTATTTATAATAAATAGGTGTTATCCTTTTTAAAATACTCTTACCAATCAAGTGTTATTTGATAAAATAGTTAATGTATAAATATGAAAAACAAAATAAATCGGAATCTTGTATTTAGAACTAAATTGAAAGTCAAAGGAACTTTTATATTAAACATACGAGGTAGTATCAAACATTACATAATTTTTTTTTGGAATCAATATTACATAATTCATTGCTCAAAAAGAATGATAGAACAATTCATTTTAATTAATTTTTTTTGGCTAAAGCATAGGTATCCTTTTATTGGAAGCAATGTTATTCGAAGCATTGTCGGGCACTAAATGTGAGCACCTCTCCCAGCAGGGATTCGAACCTTAATTCTTTACGTTTTGAGGAACTAGTCCCTTCTGCTGAATTCAAACCCCATTGGTTATTTTAATTAATTTTTCTTTCTTCACAAGATAAACACAGGAAGTGTCGTGTTTACTTGGTCCAAAATTATCCTCGCGGGAGTATGTGGGCGCATGAGATGAGAAATGAACTTGCGCAGGATAATCGTGGGCCCCTCGCCAACTAAAGGTCTTGCCGCACGATAATTGTGGATCCCATACCAGCGACTTTATTGGACTTTCACAGAATAACGGCTGCTTCGATCGTTTAGATATATAGACCCCAATAGGGCTTCCAAGTGCATTAATTTTGTTTGTCCCTCTTACTAAAACAAGTAGGCTTTCTGTAAGAGAGATCCTAAGCTGCATGAAGAATGAGGAAATCTAAATGGCCCGTTTTGTTGAAAAAAATTCGTTTGGAATGAAAAGAAATACTTCCTTGTACAAATTGTCTTAAATTTTTATAGAAAATTTTTATCTTGTTACTATTAAAGACTTATGTTAATAGTTAATATATTTATTTTTTGTTTCCCAAAACATCATTCCTTAGATAATAAATATTGTGAAAATTATATTTTAATGTAATTTCTTTCCATCACACTTTTTTTTCATAATTATCTTTATTATAATAATTTTTATATTCTTTTTCTTATATTCTCTCCCCTATAAACAAAGGTATTTTAGAGACAAACTTTCATTTTTTTGGTCTACGTGATTCAGTTCAAGATTGCTTATAAAAAGGGCCAAAGTGAGCATAAAAGAATTGAAAGGAAGAGAATGAAAATTTTTTGGCCTAGGGCTCTTTGGTATGGTACTACAAAAAAAAAACAGCTTATTACCAAAAAAATTAGTAATGGAAAATTATTCCATCACTAATTTCTAACAGAATACCCACAAAAAATTGAAATTCTGTCGCTAATCTGTAAAAAAACTTAGTTGTAAATAATAGTGATGGGAAAAATTTCGTCGCTAATTTTCATTGCTAAATTGTTTAACATAATTAGATACATACTACAACAATTTATATAATAACATAATTAATAATATAATAATTTCAGTACATTTTTGTAATACCTTAACTTAAAACCTCTTTTTATAAAAATAGAAGCAATTGGAATTATTCATTAAGTCTTTAAGTTGGAACAAGTCAAATTTCAAAATGTTTAATTTTTAGGTTGCTATTTAATAACCCTAAAACTAAGTCCAAATTTAAAAATTCATAACTAAATATAAAAAAATTAAAATGAAGTGATTTCAAGTTTTATTTGAAGCTTACCAAACCATCTTCAATGAAAAAATAGTTCCTGATTACAAGTCCCTAATACTTAAGCCCAATTTCCATGCCAAATTGCACTGTTGATTTGGTAAATTTTTAATTTTTCAGAATTTATGCATAACTTTAAATAGGTATAACTTTTTGTACAAAAATCCAATTTTAATGAATTATCACCCATTTTAAAGCTAAAAATTAGATCTATTAAAGTGCCAAGTTTCATGATCAAATTCCTTCATTTGCTCAGAATCACATAGGTCTCAAAGTAGGTGCAATTTAGGTCATTTTTATCCCTTTTAATCTCTATTCTTGCACTATTAAGCTTTACCACTTCAAGGCTACTATTAATCACGCCATTCAACTTGAAACTATGCTTTAGCCATAATGTACAACATATATTAGCCAAGAAGTTAAACATCCATGATCACACATAATTACACAACATAGTTCAAAATTCAGTAACATAGCAAGGGTCTTCAAGCTATGGCCACCTTTTTTGTCTTTCCCCTTAGTGCTTCCATTCCCTAAGTGGTTAGGATTTAGAAATAATAGTATGAGATTCTAAAGAATCCCAATAGCAAAAGAACAACAATTATAGTATCAAAATGCATGATTAATTCATGTTATATGCAAACATTTAACTTAAGCATTATCATGCCATAAACATATCATCAATATGTCATGAAAAGGGAGAAAGTAACATACCATTTAATAGACATGTTTGCCAAAGCATCAATGCAAGGAGTTACTCACATTTCCACATTCAAAACTCAACCACAATATGGCGCATACACATAACACAAACAACTAAGCCAATTTAACACTAAAACCGGAAGTTCTTGCTACCTCTTGATAGACTTGATTCCTTGATTTCTTTCTCTTATCCTTGAGCCTTTCTTTGCCTAATGTCAATGCTTATCAATCAAACAACAACAATGGCATTTCAATCAACTTCAATAATTTCATTAATACTTTAACCTAAAACCCTAACCCTTTAACTTTTATTTTAGGATTTTAGCATTATCTTCTTTAACTTAACTTTCACATGCTTTTCCTACATAATTTTTCAAGTAGAATCTATATATAAACTTAGATTTATCAAAATTTAACTCCTTCCCCTATTTTAAACCTTGGTTGAGAGATATAGTCTGGGATTTAAAAATTTTATTTTTAATTTTAATGCTTCCAATCACATGTTCTTACACAAATTCACCTCCTAAACTCAATGGAAGCATCAAATTAACAAAAATCAAACCCTCACATAAACAACCAGTCTTGACCAAATTGAACTTCCAAGTTCCCCACAAGTTAAAATTCTTCCATAAACAAGGTTTAGACACCATAAACCACCCATTTTCTATCTTCCAATCCTTATACAAACTTTAAACCATTCATATCTCAACATAAGCCAAGTTAAACAGCATCAAATCCTAAGGTTTCCAACCTTTAACTTCCATCAAAACCATGTCTAAGCCATCAAACTACAAGACATCATAAGCTAGAAGAAAATCTAAGCTCTTACCTTGGTTTAGTACTTGATTTGACCTAGGTTTTGCTTGAACTTCTCTTCCTCCTTTCTCTTCTTTCTTTTAGCTGAATTTCTCTCTCTCTTTACTCTTCAAGCTAGCCAAAAATGGCCAAGAGAGAATGAGGGTAGCATATATAAATTAATCCTCAAATCTACCACATGGTAACTTCCCATTTACCACTTTTACCCTTAAGCACTTGGCTTAATCTTGTTTCATCTCCCTTCATGATCTTGCCACATTAGTCCTTTATATGTCATCTTCTTTGAATGTTAATTTCCAACTCATGTGACAACTAATCAACGACTAGATTTTATTTTGACCTATATCTCATCTAATTAAAATTTTCTCGAAATCGGTCTTTTACCAATATAATTTTATTTTAAATATTTTAAAGCTAGCCTCTACATCTGTGGAGGCTAGGAACAATTTTAAAATTCATAATAATCCTTCAAATAATTTTTCTCATTTTTTTTAATGAATTATTGAGGCCTCTAAATTTTTTGAATAATTCAATTTGGCCAATTTTTTTAATTAGCCAAATTCCATGAAATTATCAAAAATTCCAAAATAAATTATTTTCATGTTATTTTCATCTTTCAGGGCTCAAATACTGTTCTAAACCCTTTATTCTATTTTCTTCATGAATTTTAGAGATTTTCAAGAATTTTGGGTATAATTTTCAATTTTGCCATTCCTTGAACGAAACTTTTCAAAATAACAATCAAGTCTTTTTCTGGGCTTTACCTCACAAGTTGTTCCGTATATACTTTTACTACACTATATGGTCCTCAGTCAATCCTAGATTCCTTATTTTTCATGTTAAGATTTACAGGATATGATAATTTTTAATTATAAAATAAATTGATATATTCATAGAGTTGGTGCTAATGAAGATATCATCATCATTCTTCTTATCATTAGCATGCTAAGACAGGAAGACAATTTTTTAAAAAACTTGTTTATGTTTTATTAAAATCAGTTCCTCTCGATTATTAATAATAGTTAAACTAATATGATAAGAATATTCATAACATTCTTATACAAACTAATATAAGAAAGAAATAATTTTATCATATATACAATATATTATTCAAAACCAAAAAATGAATTTATATGAATGCTTTAATTTATTATTATAGATCAAACTATTGTTGAAATGAATTTTGAACTTCAATCATTACAATAAAATTTAATTATGATATAATTAATAACTTATGATATAGATTGATTTTAGTCTTCAATACGAAAACAAATGGTATATGCATAGTTTTTGGGAGGAAAAATTATATAGGATACACATATAAGCAGGAGAATGTTGTTTATTATAAAATAGTCAAATCATTCAGTTTTTTTTTTTATATAGAATAATTTTTTAACAAAAAGGAACATTTTATTAACAATGAAACAAGTATACAAAGTATCAAAGTAAACTAGAAATGACAAAAACAACAACAAAAAACAAAACTAAAAAACAAAGTATCAAAGAAACTAAAATACACGCAAAGAAAGTAAACAAAGAAAACAACAAAGAAACAAAAGTTGTCTTCATATTAGCCAATTCCCATTCGATCATGGCTTCCTTTAGTGTTTAGACTTCTAGTATTATGTCCAATATTAGAAACCGTTACTAAGCCACTGTTCTTTTCAGCAATTGAATCATCCAACAAAATATCATATAAGTGAGATGGTGCAGTCATAAGCGATCAATTGAATGCCACCCTACTCCTTCCAACAAGAAAATCTACAGCATGATTTCCCTGTCTAGTAACTAAGGAAATTATAAATTTGGCCTTAGATCAATTAAATGAAAGATTTTAGAAAATATAGAGACATTTTACCTTTCAATTCTATCTAGAGATCTGCCAAAGATAGCTCTATAAAGCTCCTCAGAATCCATCTCTAGAAAAACATTATAGTTATGATAACTATCACATAAACTAAGTGCTTTGCTCAACAAAAAAAATCACATAAACTAAGTGCAGATTTCAAAGCAAAAAAATTCAGATCCAAAAGGGGTAGAAGCCTTAATTTTTTGTATACACCACTCAAATGTGCTCCTCTGCTATCTCTGCAAATTACTCTTACGCCAGCATACTCATCTTGCTTCTTGAAAGATCCATCAATGTTGATTTTGACAGCATTTGCGTCAGGTGCCTTCCAAGTAAGATTTCTTTTAGTTCCTTTTTCTCTCATGCTCTCGATAACAAACTTTGTAGCCCAAACTTCCTCAACAAGCAAAGAAGCAATCAAAATGATTCTCATGGGGTCAACCAACTTTTCACTAAAGATGAAATCACGTCTTCCCTTCCAAATTTCCTAACAAATAGTAACCACAAGAGATTTCCCATGATCTATCATTTTTTTTTTATACAAGAAGACATTTTCACACCATTTTCCAATACTCACATCGACATTTTTTTTATTATCAATATTTAGAGTCAAGGAACAACTAAACCAGCAGCAAATTGCCCAAAAACAATGCAAAATTGAATGTTCTATAGTTTTAGGCTCAATATGACAGATTAGACAAGTATTTTATAGGAACACAAAGTGTAACATCCTAAATTTTGCGCATAGAAGTCAAGGAATAGCCTAAAATAGGCAAGCTACTGAGTCCTTATGAGTCGAAGTTCCAAAAATGTAAAAAGAAGGTTAAAGGGTTCTCAGGGACTAAACTGTAAATTGAGAAAATTCTAAGGACTAAAAAGTAAATAAAGTTAGAGACTCTGGTGAAGTCTTGAGACCCAGAAATGAGAAATGGAGATGAATATAGGTCAAATGTTATGTTAGAGGCCTCAATTAGGTATATTATGGGGCTAAGTCGAAGCATGGGCAAAATCATAATTTTGTAAAGTTTCAAGCCAAAAAAGACAGTGATGGAAAGTAGGCCTGAGTACTTCAAAAAAATTTCAAAAAAATGGGAATAAGGTCCAGAGGCCTGTATAAGGCAAAAAATGATGAAAATACTCCTGGAAGGAATTGATGGAATTCCAAGGTTTTGGCTAATTAAAAATATTAACTGAAATTAAATTATTTAAAATATGAAGAGGCCTCATATAATTGGAAAAAAAATAGAAAATAATACTTGATAAATTATCACAAGTTTTAAAAATAATTTCTTTCTCAGAAAGTAAAGAGGTTGGCTTTAATAAAATTTAAAGCCTATTTATACACTATCTGGGAAAAGTCAAAATAAACTATTTATGGGTTGACTTTTAACTTAAGAAAAATTATAGAAATTCCCCATGATGAACAGGTAGTAATGGTACCTAGAGACAGATTCTCAGAGTTATGGACTGGTGGAAAGAATATGGTAAGTTTACTCTGAAATAAATATTATTAACTATTTTATGGAAAGCAAACACGAATGTTTCTCCCTCAATTGCACACACATATAATGCCATGTGGACTTATTTATGATAAGAAAATGGTATCACAATATGTCCCAGTGCTACCAGGCAAGTTAGGACCTAAAAAAGTACCTGATATGGTATAAATTGGCAAGATATGTGGAGAAATATTTAAGGGAGTAATTACGCATGAATGTCCTTCATTTTCCTCCCTATTTTAATGCCAAAATGATGAAATAGACATGGAAAGAATTATCCAAGTTGTTGGTTAGAAATGTGAGAAAAGAAAAGGGACTGGTAAGAGGTCAATGAGATCGATGGATCAAAAGCTTTCCAATTCTCTCTTCCTCTTCACTTTAGGCACCACGTGTAAGGCTTCTTAGTCATGGAATTAGTTTAATGATGTAAGTAAGGAACATGTGGCTTGATTAAGAGACACATGGTAAGGCATAAAAATCACATGTTAATAGGTGCCAAACTTGATGTAAGCATGGTGATGTAAGAGGAGATGATGTCATGAAACGCTTGAAACCTAATGAAACTACATGGCCTAGGATTTGTACTTTTGGCAAAGGGATGAAGTGGACCGTGAAAGATCAAGCCACACACCTATTGTAATTCCAAGCATCTTAAAGGGCAAAGCATCAAGCAAGGGGCTATAAATACCCCCTATTCAAGAGCATTCAGCCAAAGAGAGGAACTTGGGGAGAGAATTTTCTATCAGAGTAAAAGTTCTGGCATTTAGTAAATTGCTTTGATTAAGTATAAATGTCTATAAGAAAAATACTCTGAATGGTTAGTGGTACTGAATTATGGTTTAGGAAGGAAGAAAATGATATTCTTCCATAGAATACTAGTGGTTTTGGACAATGAGTTGAGCATGATTGCTCCTTAGTGTGATCTAGGAAAGTAGAGGATTTGAATATAGATCCCTTTGGGAGTAAAGGTACTCCAGAACTCTTGGTCAACTAGTGGTGTATAGTTCTAGTTAGTTTAAATAGAAATAGTTGGACTGGTGAGATGTGAGATTGTAAGGATACTAGTTGTGATTGCTAATGGTTATGGTGCTCTATTATTTTGTAACATGTATATTGTATATAATAGCTCTATTCCTCCTGTAGTTCTGAAGAGTAGTACAAGGTGGTAAGAACCCAGAGAAATGCTCCGGTAGGGGAGCAATCAATAGGACAAGACAAGCCCTTATGGACCCGATACAGATAACTATGAACAGATTAGAGGAATAGCAATATATGCTGGAAGAGCTACAAGCTAACTAAGCTCGACAAGAAAGAGATCAGGATGCCGCAATAGCAGTGGAAGTAGCCTTGATGAAGCCTTAGTTGTTATGGGCTCTCAAAAACAATTTAGTTCCAAATAGAAATGCACTACAGTGGCACAATCTGAGTCGTGTTCACTTTGAGGAGCTTGAATTGTTCCTATGTAATTTAAGTGACAAAACCATGCGAAAAGGTAAAATTAGGGGATTTGTAAAACTGAACTAAGTTGCAATAAAATCAAAATATGAAAGAAGTAAAGTCTTTTTGGTCTTTTTAAATGAATTAAAACAGTAATGAAAGAAAGCAAATAAATGGATAGTTTGTAAACTTAATTGATAAAAATACCCCTTAGAGAATTGATTAAGCCTTTATCACTTCAAAATATATTGGGAGTTTACCCGAAAACCAATCTTAGCTAGCTTGGAAAACCTTCCAAACTCAGGTAAAGTAGTATGTTAATGAAACCTTTGACCCAAACACTCACAACAAAACTAACCACCCTCATGAATGCACACTTGGTGAGATTAATGCAATGGTATTAATAGCTTGAACATAAAAACCAATTATGCTAGCAAGGCACCACATTTAATCAAAACTGAAATTAGATTGAGCATCAAGCAATATTCACATGACTAAATTTAGGATTCTCATTACAACACAAATACCAAAGCATAAACTCTCAGAATCCAATCCAAAATGAAAAGATGATAACATTAAGGTTCAATTCTAACAACAAAACAAAAATTCTAACTAAGAACAACTAAAATGTTATTAAAGTAATAGAAAAGATGAAATAAAATCCCCAAACTAAGTCCCAAGCTTGGGCCTTTATCTAAACTCCTTAGGACAACACGTTCTAGCCTCTTATGACTTCAGATGCAGCTCCTTCAAGCTCTAAAATCATAGTACCAGCCATAACAGATGAAGATGGATGATAGATGATGCAAAAAGGTAATAGAATGAGGTGGAAATAGAGTGGAAGTGGGTAGGAATCGATGGGGGAACCTCAAGAACCCTTAAAGAACCCTAGGAGATGAAAATGGGAGTGTCTGGATAGAGTATTGTAGCTGGCTCGTGTGTTGGGTTTCCAAAAATCAAAATTTGAAGCTTAAAACCTGATCTTGTATTTGTGCATTTTCACCGAGACTAATATGTACCTTCACTGCGACAAAATATGTAAAACGCATAGCTGCATTTAGTTGGCCTTTTTTTGGAATTTTTGTAATTTACTGGCCCTTAACTGTAATTTTCTTGAACTCAGGTCTTTAAGAGATGTTTCCTAACTTTGACTTTAGACCTAAAAATCAAATTAAGCACTTGTAATATCTAATTCAATTTCATAAAGGATGATTAATTAAATAGAAGCAAAAATGACTGTTTTGCCCTTACAAAGTGCTTGATAAGAAATCAAACTCACAGTTTAAATTACCACAATTCATATCAAGACATGCATTTTAAACCAATTAATCCCTCTAAAAACATGCAATTTCACATGAATTAATGAAAAATAAACTTGGTCAAATCAAGCCCATTTGTAACAAGCTGAGCTGAGAACAACCGAGGAACCCCAACAATCAGTCTAACCTCAGGATGTTCTAGTTGCACATGTAAGGCCTACAAGTGAACAAGGAGATAACTGGCAATGGATTATACAATTTGGTAAGCATAACCCACATGCTTTTGAGGGCATGTTAGACATGTAGATAGCTGAAGACTAGATTACTTGACTAGAGAAGATCTTCATGGTAATGAACTGCACCTCAGAGAGGAAGCCCCAGATAGCCATATACAAGTTAGAGAAGGAGGTTGACTGATGGTAGAGAAATACAAAATTGGTCCTTCAGGTTAACAATATCCCAGTCACTTGGGAGGTATTCAAGGAGCGGTTCTATCAGAATTTTTTTCAGGGTCTCAAAGGGATAAGAAAGAAGCAAAATTCCTTACCCTGAAACAAGCAGAGGATGAACCATTTGATGAGTACCTGACAAGGTACATCAAGCTGTCCCAGTATTCTACCTACCTACAATATATAAATGATGGAAGATGATACACAGAAAAGATGGTCAAGGGACTGAGACCTACCCTAAGAGAGAAGGTGGCCCCTTGACAGATTAAGGATTTCAACAAGGCAATAGAGGCCTACCGTATCATGAAAAGCAATCAAAACCATCAAGGTCTAACTAGAGCAACCCCCGAAGCTGAGAAAGCTTTTAGGATTGGCAAGAGGGGACCTCGTATAATAGTAAGAAAGGGAAGAGGACCAGCCTTAGCGAAAAGCTTTAGGGGGTTAATAGACAAGGAGGAGGACTAGACATCAGGAGGGGAGACAAAGAATGTGAGATCTGCAGGAAGAACCTCGAGGCTCGGTCATGCATGTTAAGGTAGTGTATGTGCTATAGATGTGGCAAGCCTAGACACATAGCCAAAGAGTGCACCCAAGTTAGAGACAGTCAAAGACCCTAGACTCAGGGATGAGCATTTACCCTCATACAAGAAGAGGCTCATAAGACGCCCAAGGACACAAGGTATGATCAGTGTTAGTTATTACCTTGTGTGTTTGATGCTTAATGTAGGCACAAGCCATGAGTTTGTGTTATGTAATTGTGTTGGGCAACTAGGCCTCATTGTGATCCCTTATGATGTGATTTGTTTATGTTTACTCCCTTTGAGGTTAAAGCATGTTTGAATTATATTGTCTAATATGATTATTGCTGCATTTCCCTAGCCTTGAAATGCATGCCATCCCATAATATGGATGTCATTACTGATTTTAATTAGTTATTTTCCCATGATGTACTCCTCACTTGTAAGGATAAGACCTTTAACCTTCCTCTGAAAGGAAATAGTCTTGTGCATAGAGATAACATTAAATGTTGTGATTGAGGCCCAAGTCAATAGATAATTGAAAAAGGGCTGCCACTAATATACAGAGCATTTCCACTAACCAAAAGTAGAAGTAGAAGAAGGAAGAATAATGAGAAGATAGGTAGCCACTGTTTAGAGTAAAGGGACTCCCTTAGAAGAAAGGAATAGTTTGAGCTGAGTAAGCCAAGCTAGACAAGGGTATGAGTCTAGGCTCTAGTTAGGAAATAGAGTAGCAACCTAACCTTTATATAATTAATGAGACCACGATAAAGGTAAAGCAAATAGGTGGTGATGTTAGAAATAATGGTCATATCGAGAGTTGGCATAGAGAGATGAACATCTTCCCCATGATGCTTAGATAATTAATAATGTTTGGGACCAGAAGATGGTCCCACATGTTCCTAAGGCATCTATGAGAAGTGTAACCATAGCACTCAGGCCAATAAGAAATCTAAAAGATGATATTCCTATAAATAATTGCCACTGCCAAAGTGACTGACTAAGTCAAGTTGAGAGGATCCTTTTAACAAGGATATGGTACTCTGATAAAAGATTGGGTATGAGAAAAGTCTTAGCCATAAAATATCTCTCCAAGATTGGGAGATGGTCCCCTGACTCAGAGTTGATATTGCTGAGTAAAAGCGAGCTATCCTTTAAAGGAAAGAAAGGGAAATAGTTATGATGGAGTAGACATTGTTGTGTGGAAAGTAATGTGTCCTCCCATAATGGTAGAGTAGATACCGTACTTATAAAAGTGATATGTCTCCCATCAAGGTAGAGAGTGGTTGAGTGGAGATTGCTTTGTTGGAGAGCAATATGTCCTCCCACAGGGAAGAGTAATGGTGGCCAAAAAAAGGCTCACGGAGTTAATCTTACCCTAATAAAAATGGAACAGGCCAAGAGTAATGTGAGGGTGAAACATCTCTTGGGCATAAATAGAGTATCAACAGTAAGTCCTCTCCCCGTGCTATCCAGAATCAGTGAGAAATAAAGAAATTAGTAAGAGAAGGCAAACTGGTATAAAATGTAGAATGAATGGCCCAAGGGAGCTAAAGAATTGAGGGTTATGAAAATACCTAGTGGTAACGATTCAGAGTTGATAGAAAGGATTGAGTAATGGCTAAGAAAGTAATATTGG